CAACACGACACAGCTGTGCTTCTTGGAGGTGTTTACCCAGTGACCCAAAGAGTGAGTTCAGCATAGGAGGGTTAAAAGAAAGACATAATTGCATAGCGGCTGTAAAACAGTGTCAATATTACCATGCAAGAGAGTTACAAGAGTTAGTCTTGTCCTTAATGTTTCTGAGATGACATTCAGATGAGTGTAGAATAGTCGGAGATCTCTTGAAGATTTGTCCAATATATGCCAGTGTCTCTACATGTCAATGACTTCTTGCACCCACAGAATGGCGTCCTGTTGAGGATGGTGCTGGACTCGGTCACAGGAGACCTATCCGATACCAGGACCCGGTACCTGGGTTCCAGACCCGTCAAGCTGTTCAGGATCAAGATGCAGGGGTCGGAGTCTGTGAGTTTGTGTTTCTTACCTCCAGTGCAGCCCCGTAGCCCCGGACATGATGACAAACCACATTCGCGCTTCGTCTGAAGAGCCTGTGATTATAACCCAATCTATTTCTTCACAAACTTTGTCTGATCCAGGACTTGGCTGTGAAACCTTAATCATAATGAAATTTATATTGTGCTCCCTGCCGGACACACCTGTCCGTAAGTTACCCGCGCACCAAGCTTGATTTTGAAGAATTCAGAAAGCCAATTCTCGGGGTGGGTGCGTGAGGCTCCGTGTGACTGTAGGGTGAGATTGAAGTGGGGTTTGAACCTGCAACTTCAGAATACCAGCCAGATGTTTTACCAACTGAATTGAATCTAGTGAGTCTGAGACAACACCATTGTCAAAAAATTGTTGTCTGCCACCCTAGGACTCAGTTGGTAACAAAATCAATTTTGCCGTCACTCCTGGGCGAGTTTGAGCAATGACAAAAGTTGACTATAGTTTGACTAACACTGTATGAACGATGGATGGTTTTGGACTATCTACTCGACCATTTAGGGCCAGGCTCCAGGGCAGGGTCGCACCGCTGGTTATCAATAACGATGTCATTTATCTTCACAGAGGGAACCATTGCACATGAGATGGTGTACAACTGTATGAGATTTCAGTGACCATGTACACTGCGAGAATCGCAGCCAATGGGGAACGTTGGTAACGATGAGATTTTTAAAAATGGAACGACCCCAGTAACAGAGTTGCGCTTGTACACTGTCCAAAAGCAATTGACCACCGGTCAAACTATAGTTGGCACCCGAACTTGACCCCTGTCGGTATTCTTCGTCCGCTCCATAACCGACTAAGTGTAAACCCAAGGTACTATCTATTGCGGCTTTGCATTGGTCATTTTGACAGGTTCTGGCCATGTCCAGCCGGGCCTGGCTAAGCTACTGGTACCAGTCCCGCTTCCATCTCACCCCGCTGTCCTACGAGACGCTGGAGTACGCTTCGGGCTTTGCCTCGGAGCAGTGCCCCGAAGGCATCGTGGCAATCTCCACAAACACTCTCAGGTGGGTTCCAAGTGTTGAGTGTCAAGTGCTTCACTGAGACCAGTGTACCTTGTGATGTACTTGCGAAGACTTGCATTGCGAAGTCTATGTTATAGTCAAGACCAATCACAAGACCAGTCACAGACCAGTCACAAGATTAGCTGCAAGACCAGCCACAAACCAGTCACAGACCAGTCACAAGACC